TGCAGTCAGGCTACCGTAAATACTGTAGTGTGGAAACAGCTCTTCTACGTGGTTACAATGATCTGCGCTCGCTGCTGATAAGGGTCAAGAGGCTGTTCTTGTGCTTCTGGATTATTCGGCAGCTTTTGATACGATTGATCACCATATCATGCTACAATGCTTACATCATCGCTTTGGCATCAACGGTTCTGCCTTGGAATGGTTCACCTCGTATTTTGCAATTCGTCAACAATCTGTAATAATCAATAAGATTTCATCTCCCCCTCATAATGTCAACACTGGAGTGCCACAGTGGTCTGTCCTAGGTCCACTATGCTTCACACTGTACACATCCCCACTGGAAGAACTCATCGCATCATATAGCGTTAACTGCATGATCTACGCTAATGATATTCAACTGTACGTCATTATGACAGAACAACAGCGTTCTGACGCCATTCAGCGATTGGAGTCATGCCTCACACACATACATTCTTGGTCCATGGCCAATAAGCTCAAATTGAATAGCGACAAAACTGAAGTCATTCACAGCCCATCTCAGTTTCAGCAACATACTCCAATTGAAAGTATCTGCATCTCTGACTTCTGCACCAGACCTGTTACTAGGGCTCGTGACCTTGGAACCATTGTAACATAAAACCTTTGAATGCAAAACCAGGTCAATAACAAATGTCGCTCTTCTTATTTAGCTCTTCACAAGATAGGACAAATTTGAAAATTCCTTAACCAATAAATGACGGAAAAGCTTGTTCATGCTTTCATCTCTTGCCGCCTCGATTTCTGCAATAGTCTATTAAACCGTATTCCTGATTCTCAAACTTCGAAACTTCAGTGCATTCAGAATTCCGCCGCCAGACTTGTTACACGTTCATCATCTAGGTAACATTTAACTGCTATTCTTCGCACTCTTCACCGGCTACCAGTTAATGAGCGAATTGCTTTCAAAATTCTACTCCTCACTCACAAATGCATCCATGGCTCAGCACCAGCATACCTTCGTAAACTTATTCAAGTATACCAGCTGCGACGAACCCTCTGTTCTAGCTCAACATTGCTGCTCGATACACCGATCACTCGGACTAAGACTTATGGACATTGTTCCTTCATGCATGCATCACCATCGCTTTGGAACTCTCTTCCTCACCATGCATATCCAAATTATCAATAGCAAAAATGAATCTAAAGCAGTTCTCAAAACTTACTTGTTCCATTAATTGTTCTTAATTGTTGTTTCTTGTAAAGCGCATCGAGACCTTGGTGTGATGCGCTATATAAAACTGTGTTATTATTATTATTTTGAATTATGATCTTGACATTCAACTGGGTGCAGGTATCACGGGTACTTTTAAAACCAAAATTAACCAATGAAATCCTTCCTTCCTGCTATAATGCAAATATGGAAACATTTTTCAGCCAATCAAATACCTCCTCAAGTTGCCTCTTCAGAGACTGCCTCTCTCTCTCCCAGATAGAGAGGGCGCCAGAAGCTTTCTCTGTCTGCTGTCGGAGACGGATCTTGAGGGCGCCGTGCTGAAGCAGGGCCTTCTCCTGGGTTTGTTGGAGCCTGGCAATGGAGGCTGCCTGCTTCTTTTGCTCCGAGATTGAGTGTTCAAGGAGTCTTCTCATCTTCTTGAACCTGGAGTTTGGAGAATTTGTGGTGAGTATTTGAACAAGAATGCTGACCATTTGTTTGTCAGGCCTGAACTTTGGAATAGGTGAGATGCGACTGTCACGATTCAGCTGACCAAGGACCCTTCACGTTGAGTGCAGTTTATGAAGACTTCCTCTGCTTCTGAACACTTTTATTTTAGATATTAAGATATATACTCTGAAAGATTCCGTCTCCGGAAAATCAAGACACATGCGACAGCTTCATTTACTGAAAAATATCCCTGGATCAGTTTCCTGGCATTGCAAGCACACAGATTGTGTTTGAGCAATTGGTACACTATACATGCAACCTTACATTGGCTGGTTTCAAGATGTTCTGTGCCAGCTAGTTACCTTATGAATTTGTTTCACAGTATTTCATGTTTGTAATTCCATGGGTGAGAAATGTGAATAAACATTATATATATATGCTTACTTTTGTCCAACAGGTGCTTTGGTTTCTTTCAGGCGAATATCTAAGCTTTTTTCCACCATGGAGGCTATTACTTGCTGGCTCTCTTCACTTAGCTGTTTGGTTATGTCAACAGCTTGCTGGAGTCTGGTCTCAGTGCTTTCTCTCAGCCTGGAGAAAAGATTTCCATGATTCACCCTTTTAGTGAATAGCTGACATTTGGGAAAGCCATTACAGGCTAACACAAGAAGAAGAATCCAGTCTGCAAACTTGTAAGAAAAGTACTGGCTTTATCATTGAACATTATTGTTCATTGGATTTTTTGAATTGTTTTTCCTGCTGGATGTTCCATTGTTATCTCTAAATCCCTTCAGCTGAAGGTCCAAGAAGTCCAAGTAAGTTAGCAAGGGCAATTGCTGTAAACAGTCTTGCTCAAGAACACAAAAATACTGTGGTTCAAGAATTCAAACTGAGCTTCACCTGAAAATATAACTTGTCTGTGCTTGCAGGTCTTCTTGGAGAATTTGGACTGTTGTGCCCAATTTCTTCTCCAGTTCTTGAAGGCGGTCCGAGCATACCATGATGTCTGCATGGGCCCTTTCCAGTCCTGTCAAATTTTGCAAAAGTATTTCATAAGCTGTGTTAATGTCAATAAATGTTGAAAAGGACTAAGCAAACTTAAAGTTCATTGCGACGCAATCGAGATTTCATTATTTGAAACTTATTTGTTTCATCTAGGCTGCGATGTTGCCTGTTGAACACCATTAAGTACTTCCCTAACTGTGCAAATCCCTTGAGAGGAGATGTCACAGTTGTGTTTCACAGTGAATAGGATTCTTGGAGAAAATAATCTTACCCTTGTATTTGTCATCAGTCTCCTCTTTGACATAAAGACTGTGATACTCGCAATCATCTGCTGTATGGTCCGGTCTATCTTCGTCACCAGAGGCGGTGTCAGTGAAAACCCTTTTCTGTCCATTAAGTATAGTGCTACCTCTTCCCTCCTCTACTGCTGATGACTGGTTCAGTGCAGCAGAAAATGTAGTCTTTGAGGCTGTGATGGGCAAGCTGGATCCCACTAATATCGGCTTATTTTCAACCGGGGGTACCTTTTCTTTATTCAACACAGTGGATGCCTCCTGTGTCTCTGCTTCTTGGTCAAAATCTGTCTCCTTTCTCCTCAGCAGTAGCAACCGTGTAGCCATTTCTTGATTTTCCGCTTGCAGCCTCAGTAAATTAGCTTTGGCTTCCATTCTGTCAACGTCATCCTTCATCTTCTGCTTCGAGTGCATCTTGCAAAGTGCTTCCAGATTCTCTGTTCTGAGCTTCACCTCGGCCAGCTCCTCGGAGCGTTCCTGACGATCCACCCGCAGCTCTTGCAGCCTCGTCTTCAGGAGGCGGACTTCTTCGTCTCTCGCCTGGGAATCCTGCTCCAAATATTCCTCCATCTCGTGCTTCAGGGACTGGGCGTGAGCCTGGCTGTCGTCCAGTTTACTTGTGAGAAGTTTGCATCGGTCTCCCAGTGTACCCAGCTGCGTTTTTAACTGCAATTGCTTCTGTAGCGCGTTGGTGAAATCATCCCGTAGTATGTTCCGCTCTTGCTCTAACTCTTTAATAACAGCCCGGCTATCATCCACTTGACTTTCGAGGTCAGATGTTATGTCGATTTGTTCATTCAACTGCCTCTTTAACTCCATTTCCTTTTGTTTAGATTTTCTCCACTCTTTCAAATTTTCAAAATTTTCCATGCTCCTCACTTTTTGTAAGTCAGGCATCTGACCTCTTATGTCTGCAATCTCTTTCTGCAGTTCAGTGCTTTTCCCAGTTTCTGCTATCCACCATGTTTGAAGTCGTCTATTTTCTTCCTCAAGAAGGTTACCTTCCTCTCTGAGTTCTTGTATTTCCCTTTTAGCAACTTCGAGCTGCGTCTTAATCATCTTCTGACTTTTCTGGTCTTCCTGTACAGCTGCAAGAGTACTTCCCATTGAGTTTTTGCCTTGATCTCTAAAAGCAAAATCATTGTCGTTAAATCCAGACCCAGTCTGTCTGCGAAGCCCTTCATCTTCCTCACATAGGTTGGATTCGGCGTCCGTGGCTTCTGTTAGCTGGTATTGCAACTCTGTAATTTCTTTTATGGATGATCTGGGAATCAAATGAGACACCTTTGGAGACATTTCTTGCTTATGAAGATTACCGTAATCATCTTGTTCTCTGTTAAGATTCGTTGCTGCAGCCAATCTATCCCATTCTGAGCCGCATTTCTCTCCACCTCGATCATCTTCCATGACAGGAACTTCACTGTCAGTTATCCTCTGTAGTTCTTGGACTTGTTTGTGCAGTTTAGCGTTTCTTTCAGTCTCTGATGAGTACCTTCTCCTCATCGAGTCATGCTTCTTTTTCAGGAATTTTCCTTGCTCATTGCTCCCTTTGAGTTGTTGCTCGAGTTCGTCACTGATCCTTTTAACTCTTCTGAGATCTATTTGAATGCGTCGCCGCTCTTCCTCGGCTGTAGTGAAATTGGTCTTTAAAAATTCTTTTTCTTCTTGCAGGGATGCCACGAGCTTAGCACTTTCGTTCAAGATGATTTGTAGGTGATCAACTTTGTTTTGTAAGCCCTGAACTGTCTTCTGTAACTTCACTTCAGTTTGCAATGCTTTTGTCAGTTGATCCTGCAGTTTCTGTCTATCTCGGTGCACCTGCAGGAGAGATTCTTGATTCTCCGATAGCTCTGTCTCGAGTTTCTGGGTATAATTTGGGCTCTCCTCTATCGAGGTTTCTGTCTTGTGTATGTTCTGTTGCAGCTGTTGGTTGCCATTAAGTATGCTCGATTGATCCGTACTTTGTTGATCATGGTCACTGACCTCTTGTGACGTTACAGCACCTCTCACGGGCGCAGGGACTTTTCTTGATTGTAAAACTTGCTTTTTGTCATTTACTCTCTCAGCGTTCAAGGCACCTGAAGCCTCCCTTGAGTGTTGAGTATGATGGGTCGTTGGTACTTGTATTTTCTTCGGTAGTGACGATGTGACATTAACTGTTCCAGGCTCCGCTGAGAAATTACCGAGAACTCCAGCCTTTTCTTTCTCTTTGTTTGTAACTTTTCCGGACCCCGTCTGTGATTCGATGCCTGAATCGTTTGTCTTAGCGTGATCAAATTTCTCATCATCAATTCCGTTCTTTAAGGAACGTTGCAACTCATCTTCAGCAGCAGTTTTGTCCCTGTGGCCGTCGTATCGGGAAAGCATTTGACAGTCATTGTCCCCACCTTCAAGAGTGTCTGGATATGATACTTTAAACCAATCTAGAGTACTTCCGTGACAAAGATCACTGCGAGTGGATATCAAGATGCTACTTAATTGACCTGACTCCAGAAAATTACTTTCGCTTCGCGAACATCCGTCACCAGGCCTTTGTTTTTGCAGATGCCGTTTTGACAGCGCGTTGAGATTGCTACCACTGTCGTTTGACAGGTGTTCGGGCCTCAGCCCTCGTTCATTGGAGCGAAATTCATCTGAATGTCGGTCACGATTTTGACTTTCAGGTGTTTGCTGATCTTCATGATTCATCTCAATCGTCGCATCTTGCCGACTGAGATTTCTCAGGTTGGGGCGCCTTTCTCTCTGCAGCCCTGCGTCAGATGTGTAATGCTCCTGGTCCTGATCTGCTTCTGGTCTGTCACCAGGTTCACTGGTTGAGGATACCGTTACTATGTCGTCGCCTATTGACCAATCAAGTTCAGCATCCCGTGGCTTCTGGTTTTTCACTTGCTTAACTTCCTCATCTAGAGCAGCAAGGGCACTACAGATAGGTACTTCTTGTCCTCTTATCAGTGTCTTCTGTACAGGCTCTTCAAATTCTGGCATTGGACTAACATTGCCACAGTTTGACGAGTAAGGATTGCAGACGAATGAGCGTGTCGCTGATGACCCCACTGAAGAGGGATTCATCTGGTGACTCATTTTATTCTCATCTAGCATGCAGCCAGTGAACTCCTCCAGGCAACCTTGCGATCTTTGCTGGCCACTGGCGTTAACCGTGGCTAAAAACTCACTGTCTGTCGATCCTCGGAGTTTGTCGTGCCCTGCTTCTCGCATCCTTCTATTGGATTCAAGGGCCTTTGCTTCTTGGCCTTGGCTACTGAAGGATTCTCTATGTGGTTGTCCACTAAAAGACTGGATTTGCTGGCGAGGCATTTGGTTTTTGCCATGGGGACTTCGCCGATGATTAACCACGGTATCGCCATCAACTTGTGGCAAGGTAACAGGATGTCCCCTCGTAGAATGGTGCATCCTTTTACTAGGTTGTTCTGCTGCTGCTTCAAGCTGACTTCTCTGCGCGGGTTTTTCTGTGTTGGGTCCCATGGTTGATCCCCATCGTTCTTCTTGGCCGTCTTGGGTACGTAACCGCTCCCTTGTATTATTTTGCGGAGGCACCTCAATTCTTGGTTTGAGTGCATTCGGAGGAATCTCCCCCCTATGTTCTTGAAGTCTTTCCCCGCGGTTGTCAAGAATCATCCGCTGCTTAAATCGCTCCGTCATCAAAAGCTCATTTTCTTCCTTCAGGGCTGCTAACTCTTCCAAGAACATTCTTTCCAGTTCCACCTCAAGAGCGGAGCTTCTGCTGTCACCCTTCGTCTCGTCATTGTTGTCGCCTGAGATCTCGTCAGAGGGTTCCCGAAGAAGTTCTTCCTTCTCCAACTGCATCCTGGCGCATTCTTCCTCGTATTCACTGACCCTCTGCAGATACAACAGGTGGGTTTCTCGCTCTTTTTCTAATTGCTCTTGCACCTGAGCCTCGGTGTTTTTTATTTCTCTGAGCTCCTTTTTAAGTCTCTCACGCTCCCGTTCAAGAGTGGACAACAGATCTTCATTTTCAGATTCAGAAGACGTCTGATCCGATTGTCCCTGGCAACAGGATGAAACCTGATGTTATTTAACAGTTTGTGTTTGCTTGCAGTTTAAAAACTAGAGTTAATATTTCGCCTCAAATGAGGCAGAGATCTATAATTTGGGAACTTTTAGATAGAACTTGTATTTTCTTTATTTCTGCTGATGCCAAGGGTCCTTGTTACACATCTACTGTTTTACCAACAGTGTGATTTACCTCTGTTCCTCTTCCAGTTACATTTTCTGGAGTTTCTGGTAGCTGGTACTCAGATATTTCCTCCATTCTTCCTGTTACGTTGGGACTTCGCACATTTGCCTTTTTCTGGTTTTCTGCAGTGCGGGCAACATGTTCTGAGGCGTTTGGCTCATTTGGACTGAAGAGTAATGGTATCTCTAGCTTGGTAACCAGCGGCTCGTTTACCAACTCACAGTCATCATCCTTACTGAAATTATGAAAACAATCGGAGGTTCATTCAAAGGTTTCCGTCTTCCAAAGTGGATGTCGAAATATTTTGAAGAGGGAAATTTCCAGTTTCAAGTTCTCGCACAGTTTCATGTTAACTTTTTCTGGTTATGAAACGATGTCAGAATACTCGTACAGCAAAGATTGTTGGATTATTTGACACCTCACCATTTGTTTTAAATAAGTTCTTTTTAAAAATTAGTTTATGAACTTTCCTGGTATTTGAATATACCATCATAAAGAGCCAACGAAGTAAATTAAAGTTAATTAAAGCTGTTTTTGTAATACCTGGGTGTGTCTACATGAGATGCCTCGTCATCATCGGCATGACTCCTATGGCCTCGTCCTAGACGCCCTCTTCCTCTCAGTTTCTGCCTTGCTTGCATCATGAGGGCCATGGCTCTCAGTTTGGCCACGACATCTCTCTGAATTTGTCTTGCCTTGTCTAGAGTTTCAGACGGACGAATCGTTGGAAGTTACAAAAAATGTTTACCTAGACCCGAGTGTGTGATTTTAAGTTAATTAGTTTTGTAATGGGTGAAGGTTGTATTTGAAAAATTGACCTTTTTTGATGTCTTGCTGAAGGAAGTTGAACAGTAAAGGGATTTTGTGGATATGAAGTTCATTCTTCGTACGAACTATTTATTTGAGCCCATTCTTATAGACTTACTTAATCCACTGACAAAACTGCAAGCTGTCAAATTTACTTTCAGAAATGATTTAAATAATTATGCCTATTTTCTAAATTAGAATACTGCCATGGACATTAGATTGAATTAAACACCTGATCGAGGACGCTCGTGGGGATTATATTCCTCGTTACTTCCATTCCCCGATGTTTGCAACCTTGTGTCCTTTAAATCTTCTTTTCCACCAGAAACTCCACTTTGGATCTCTGGGAATGCCGTGGCAACTCCTTCGACACCAAACATCAGTCTGGAAAAAGCTGAATCCTTTACGGCATTCAGCAAGTCAAACAATTCCTCTAAGTCCCTCGACCGTCCACCTCCCGCTGGTCCATCGAGTCCCTCTCCGCCGACCGGGGAAGCCCGCTTCATCTCCGGGTCGGTCGCCGTCCAGGCGTCGACATAAGAGGCCTCCGGGTGTACTGCCGCTCCACCCGGCGTCTGCAACACGCGCTGCGCCTGCCGTTTGATGACTGTGTGAAGTTTTTTGCACACTCGTTCAAAGTCCAATTGTAGCCTTTGTGTGTCGGCGCGGAGAGCTGCCTTTTCGTTCGACAGCGACTGGACAAAAAATATTGAAAGTGTTCAAACTGCTGTGACAGAGTGAATGATGAAGTATCTAAACGTTGAGACACAGTCATGTTCTGACAATGGAAAGTTTTTTTTAAAAGTATTGGCTTACAATCGCTGGCCGACTTCTGGGGCCAATTTGGTGCAATGGGTAAACACATGCAAAATAGGTTGTTTTCTCCTTTTTGGGCGGTAATTATGAGGAACATGGCCTTATGACTCCATGTTCAGCCACTGAACTCCAGAGACTGATGAACTTCTATTCCTTACCTCTATCGCATCAACCATTTCCTCTCTATCCATCTCCAGAGTCTCTATCTGTCTCTCCAACTGTGCCCTCTCCCCTGCATGCGCTCCACACAACTCCGCTAACAGCGACGCACTGCCCACCTTGTCAACACAATAAACGAGCCGGAAAAACCAGTTGTCATATTTAGAGAAAGTCACAGGGCCAAAGAATGGTCGGTAGTGCGTTTATCTTCACAGGGATGAACATACCGAATTACTGCCTTGGGTTTAAGAATCCATATTACCTCCTCATTCCTCATTCTCTCCTCCATTTCTCGAACAAGTCTTTCGTGATTGGATGAAATAACCTCAAGGCTCCGTCTCTTTTCTTTTTCCTCGGTGAGCTCGGCCTCCGCTTCTTCGTGATTAGCTAAATCTCGCCGGAGATTCCCAATTATCTTGTCTTTCTGTTTTAACGCCTGCACCAAGAAACGAAGAATTATTTTTAAGGCAATGCCTCTGAAAGACAATTTACGTGGTACTTTTTATCATTGACAGGTGTATTCTATATAATTACAACGCTCTGTTGATAAGGCAAAATCATGAGCGGGGTACTGCACGTTTCATTTCCCCTTCGCATCCCTATTTTTGGCAGCCCAAAGCAGGACAAAGCCCCTTAACCACTTCGAGGATTCACCGGTGGATATCCATCAATGATTACCTCCCCGCAGTGATCTTTGTCGTATGACATTTGTTGTATCTGATAGTTCTGTTCCTTGATTTTCTCCGTCGAGTCCTGTAATTCGTCCAGAGCCTTTGTTAGCTGACCAAGAAAGGAATCTCGCTCCTTCTTCAGAACCTTGTGGGATTCCTCGAGATTTTGGAGATCATGCTGGAGAGACCACACCTTTAAAAAGACAAAAGCGTTGCTAAGACATGCACTGGCTGTAGTGAAAAATGAGCAACATGTTTGAGTGACATTGTTAAAGTGTAGAACTGCAATGAACTTTTCTTAGACGCAATATTTCTACAACTTTGTACTCTTTTTCAATCTGGAAACTTTTTTTTTAACATTCCTTTCGGTTAAATTCATTGGAAAGGCCACTTATCAAACACTTCAAATTATCCATGGTTTCCCTGACAACTGAGGACACTCTTGTCGTCATAGTTCAGTGCATAAATTTCTGTTCAAATTATGAACCTTTAATATACTTTTTGAAAGCATTCCGAGAAAGGGATTGATGCTTGCTTATTGCTATGCATCCACATGACCAACAATGAATCACCAAAGAAGAGAAAATTTAGTCCAGCAAATTTTCTCTTGTCCTGCATTTTTATAAATTTAGTCCAGTAAAATCTGTATAAATGCAGGACATTTTTGTGTGCAAACCAATGTAACGCTGAGGCTTTCTTCCTGCCGTGGGGATGACATGAAAATGCTCTTGAACATGGAAAAAATCATAAGCATAAAACCAAGACAATAAAAGACCCTTTGAGATAGTAAAATAAAAGTTGACAATAAGGGCTACTGAGACACAAAGGTGAACTTTGAAGGTTTGAAGTAAAACAAATTGATTGCAGCTACCCTTTAAAGGAGATTGTTACAAAAAGATGGCAATGAAATGACAAGTTAGTGCCAAAAACGTATACCTAGTTGATATGCTTATTGCTTTATACTGGCTAACTTTCAGAATTCAAACTTGTACCTTCAAGTCAGGCAGTGCAAGAACACAGATTTTCTTCAATGCTTACAGTTTCCTATAGAAACACCCAATATGTCAAGTTTCTGCTGAACACATAAGTGTACTTTCAACTTAATGAAACTTTTTACATAATGCTTACATCGCATATCAGTACACATTTTGGTCCGTATTCATTTCGGAAAAGATGAGAGATGCTCCAGTAGACCAAATTTTCTATGAATCCGTTCGGAGAAAGTCTCCCAAGATGGACAAGCCTACCTTAGCCTGATACTGTGACGTCGTCGTCTCCAATTCCACCTTCCTTGCATCGAAGCTAGCCATCATCTCTACGTGCTCTTTGCAGACAGTTTCCTTGATCCTGGCATCTTGCTCCAACGTTTGGAGACGTTTTGATTCTCTTCTGAGATCAATCTCCAGTTGCTCCTTAAGGAGGTGCGTTTCTCGGAGCTCGGACTCCGACATCTGCAGTCTGGCTTTTAGGTCGGCTTTGTTGAGGAGAAACGACAAAAAGTGGAGATTCTTTGATTTGAATAGGCGATGACGCAAATCCAACTTAAACCACGTCCTTCCCTCCACTGTTATCCATTGTACAAGAGAACAACAAGTTTTTACTAATGTTTTGAGCCGTGAGACGAATGCGATCCATTGTCCAGCGCTGGCTGGCTATGTACATGTACATCTGCATGTACATGCTTTACTCCTGGCCCAAGATGTTAATTGTGCAACTCTTCGACTGGGTGCATTTTGTCTTATTCATATGGCATTGCACGGTTGAGGCATGTCACGTCACACACAGATATACGCAGTCGGCATTACCAGTGGATTGTAGGGCCAACACACTGTCTTCACTACCTTACTGTCTTCACTGCGTTACATAGTCCAAATGGATTTATAAGTTCGTTGCGGAAATATGCTAGACTCAGTTTTTTCAAATGCTATATAGATGTGACTGTGCGACTGCACGGAGGTGGATACATTTTACACCACCGCAACAAGCAAGTTTGGCGAGCGGCTAATTTGGGAACCACAGTTCACTGTCTCTTCAAATGAAGACCACGTTTGCACCGGCTCATCCTTCGAAATCCCTCGGTCACCGTAGAAAATTATTTGTTTGGAAAATACATGCATTTGGAATATCATCTGGGAAGTACTGATGGGTAAGTTTCAAAACAATTTATTTGTTCTGTAAAAGTATATATGAATTGTCAGTGGTATAATTAATAAATAATGTTGACTTTAATAATGGAGGAAGACTTATAATGTCTAGGTTAAACTTAAAGAAATTGGCTAAATGCGACTTTGAAAAAAAAGACAAATAATAGAAATTATACGCTATAATTGACATGTACATGAGTAAAAATGACAAAAAATTATGAATAAAATAAAATAAAATGGAAGGCGAGTGTACAAAAATGAAACCAGAAGCATTAAAGAACATAAGTGAAGTAAAAAGAGTGTTTCGCTTTATATGAAATTTGTGATTGCTGCGGAACATATGAGAGAACTTAGCTCGGCAAGTCGAAAAATTCAGAGAGAACATCTATCCGTTATACGTGTAAACGATGTACTTAACTGTTAAATAGTGTTTTTCCTTCTGCTTGACGTTGCAATAATTCAATATCACCACACGATTTCTGTTTCTATCGAGTCCATATTGATGTTTCAGTTTTTTAAAGAATCTTTCTTAGAGAGACTACCCAGTTTACTGTACATTCTTGTGAATAATTAACGCTTTTCTGAATATAAGGTGACGTCACAGAGGGTTTAAACAAAGGGATATAATTATCAGTCCCTTTTTCACGTTAAAGAAAAATTATAATGCTTTTACTTAAGATGTCACTGATAATTTTTTTACGGAAACCAGATACCTAATTTGAGTGTATCTTGGAAAAGAAATGGAAGAACTGTGTGGGGGGTGTCTTAAAAAAAATTTGATGGGGAAGATGTTATTGGGCTGCCATCACTGGTCATCATCTGTTAATACAAAGTGCGCAATTGTCGGATCCTAGCTGGAACTATCTCAATAAATTGGCAGCAGTGACTTGAAAACATTTCAGATGTTGGCGTAAGGGTCATAGAAAATTAAAACATGTTTTTCTTTTAATAGAAACCCCTGAATCTGTGCTAATGTAGGAAAAAAGTTTTTTTAATACCTGTCAACTCATCCACCTTCACTCTGGCCTGCTGGCTCGCCGACCGGTCGTTCACCTCTGCTCGAAGAAGGTTGTTATCCAGATGTAACGCAGACACCGTGTCTTCAAGACGGGCAACTTTGTTGCTTAGATCGTACTTGTCTTTCAAAAGCTGATTTAAGTTCCTGGGAGAGAACACAAATTGAAATCTCTCGTGATTACCATGTAACATTAAATGCTGGTTATTAGGGAACTGTTGAGTACCAAAGCTATGCGGACACAAACTATCGACTAAGAGGGGCTTATATAGGGCTACATTTGTTCTGATTTACATACGTGGACACTGTTGTCTCAAATGTTTGTCTCTCCAGCCTGCAATCTCCTAAGGCATCTTCCAGCGCCCTAACCCGCTGGTTCACAGCCGTGTTGAGAGTACCGAGCTCCTGTATAGACCAACAAATCATCAGACTGGTCTTTTGGGGGCGGGATGGGGGGGGGGTTAAAACGAACATATCCATGTAAAAAATAAACATACCAACAGTTGACCCTTGATCTTGTGGAACTGACATCAGAGACAGCCCACCAGATGGAAGTGTTTGCGACATTCGATTGAAGTCGTAAAAGTACGAAATGGTGCCTCACTCATTGTGGAATTATGTAAAGTAAGGAATATTGTTCAAGTTGAAAGGCAATAAGTTTGTAAGCAAATCTCCAATGACAGATAACATGCAGCTTAATACATTACGAACAAGCTACGGTTACTCCATAAAAATATCCACTAGCAGTTGGAATGCGCTGGTACAGCATTCCATAGGGAAAGTAGCCTTTGTATTTACAATTTTTATAAAACGTTTCCTTTATGAATTTTGTGTCTTGGCGATAATTTGCTTTCTCAAAGCAGCAAGTCACAACGAGGAACAGGATCCAACGATTTGCTTTACGGAGCATTGAGATAATCTCTGCAGCCATGAAGTCCCCCACCTCGATCTCGGACTTTGCTGAATCCTTTTTGCTCTCCTCCATCATCTTGAGCGTCGCCTCCCTCTTCCACCAGAGAAAGAGGATGACGCAGTGGAGGAAGAGGGAGGGTTCGAGGTTGACGGGAGGCCCACCTTCTTTCTCCACCTGCTCGAAGATGTGTCTGAGCGCCTTCTTGTTCTGTTGGGTGTAAAGATGTGTCGGGGTGGGGGATGAGGATGGTTGCTATGGTAATGGTGAGGTAGATTGAAGGATGAATGGTGGTTATGGATATAATGATATGGAAAATGATACGGCGAAGTCATTTAAATTTTTTCCGTTATATTTGCGGTCATTTGGGTAACACTGGTTCACACTTTAAATTCTTCTTTATACGAATAATTTTGTGTCCTTCCGAGTCATACGAAGCCCTTGGAAACTGTTTTTCCCCCATTGGAAATGCATGTCTCACATTATCACAATGTACCTTAAATGTGAGAGTCAGCTTGGCATAGTGGTTCACTTCTTCCTGATTCCACGGGACTTACCCAGGATATTCTTCTGGGGTTTTTCTCCCACCTCTAAAACTGTAACTGCTTCTCATTGTTTCCTCTCTACAAGCTTCTTCAGGCTACCGAGCTGCAATGTCTAGGGCACTTTTGAGTAATCCTTGGTGTCATTACCAGAAATAATCAATAATAATAATATCCCGTCTCTGAATCACCTAACCGGTTGACTTGATTGGCGTTTATTTAATGGTTATATTCCCCATTGAATTTGTTATGTTGACATTCATGTTTGTGGTTATTTTTTATGCAACCTTAAACGTTCTTCGTCCTTCTTTATGCTTGTTGTTCATAACCGAACGCTGTTTGCAGTGTAGGCCTATCTTTAGAGCGCGATATTAGCTTTCCCATTATAAAAACAGCCGTACTGTGCGCATTACAGCACTGCCATATGCACAAACCTGTTGAGTATCGAATTTGATTGACGGCCACTCCCCTTGGTCAGGTAACCTAACGTATTTCATCCATCCTCCGTGGTGCATCTCTTCCTTTTTCGACCCGTCTTGAGCTTTCCTCAGCTCGCTAGTTAGGTCCCTGACCCTGTCTGCCTGTTGCCTGTTGGTTTCCCGTTCACGCTGGAGTTTCCGCCGAAGATCCTTATCCCTTGTCTTCAAATATGGAGAAAATTTAATTTCAAGTAATCAAAGCAAGTGTCCAATATATTCACATCCTGCGTCAGACAGAGGTGAAGATGGTTGGGGTTAGGTTACAAGACCAACCAAAATAACTAAAAACTAATAACAAACCTGCCAGCTTGCATTAAAGCCCCCCCTTCTCAGATACTTTCAATATACGAATTCCTTTTCTTCACAGTGAAGGTTAAATTAAGTTTTACTCTGTTATTCTGTCTCGACTCGCTTATAAAACACTCAAACAAAACTGGTTTCCCCCGTTTGTCAGCTGCTTCTTCAAAATGAATCTCTTACAGTTACACCTGGTTAAATAACAGAAAGGAGGCAAGTAACGGTGTTAACATGAAATTGTTGGTAAACGTAAACAGGTAGATACAGATGTCTATGGTGAGGAAATCAACGGGGGTTCAAACCTTGAGTTTGGCGTTCTCGTTGCCAAGAAGTCCTTCAATTGAGGCCATCTTGAGTGCGCTCTCCTGTCTACAACTCTCCAACCTCCCCTCCAGGTACTGCACCTGCTCCTCCAGGAGTTTGATCTGCGGACCAAAAGGATTAAAGGGGAAAGATGAAAGCTTAAGTTGTTGCTCCCATGGTTTTAATTAACGGAAAGGAATGCATGAGGGGTTCAACAAGGTTAAAGATATAGAAATGTAGTTGTCCTTGATAAGGTTCGTACACCAGTTTCGTGGCGTTGACGGAGGAGAAATTTTCTGCTAGAGAGAAAGTTGACCAAACCGGATGGTTTTCAGGTTAACAGAGCATCTTTCAGATGAGGGCAGTTTCAAAATATGCAAACCTTATTCTTTATTTCGCTTCTCCAACTTTTGATTATTGGGGAAAGAGGGTATACGTATAAAAGCCTTGTAGGCGGGGCGTGCCCCTCCTTTTCTTACACCCCACAAAAAGCAGATGAAATTAACTAGGCCAAATGGACAGCAACTTTGTACAATACTTTAATGTTTGCATCTCGTTGAAGTTTTTGAAATGGTTTAATTTTTAAATTCACAAAATAGAGCAACATCAAGCAAGAGCGTATCGGCTTGGCGGACCTTCCTCGCCTGTTCCTTGGGCCGTCTACCATCTTCTTTCTCCCCCTCAGTCGTCTTTAGCTTATTCAGGAGGTTGTTCCGATCCACGGCCATCTCCTTCCTACGTTCCACCTCCAAGCGTAGCTGGGCCTGGGTCTTGCCCAAGACTGCCCTGATCGAATCAGTTTCATCAGGGTCCCCACTCTGTCGAAATTTAAGAGACAGAGAGGGAAAATAAAGATTTTCTCATCTTTCGTTCCAACCTAATAAGCACTCGCAAAAACCGCACTCTCCGAAAATGAGCCATTTTCTACATTCCTGCTTCGTCACAGGCGGCGGCTTTTGTTATGGGATCAAGATTTATTTGCAGTCGTTTGAGCCAAAGGTAAATAATCCAAACCAGGCAAGGTTTCACCTTTTTTCTGTAGCAGAAAAGGAATTACACTGAACCATGGGTGTGTCAACCAGGCAACAAAATTCATGACAGTGAAACCAGAAGGAGGGCGTAAAGTGGGCGTCACCAGAATTTTTTTTTTGGGGGGGGGAAGTGGCGACAGGGCAAAGCCTTGATCAGCTGCAAACCGAAAACCATCAACAGTGGAATGGCCTCTTTCTAATTTCCCAATAAATTGATGATTTTCATCTCAGTTCGTCCTTTTGCTTGTTTCTTTCGTCCCTTTCTTATTTTTCAACGCCCTCACAGTGCCCATTGCAAGAAGCTAGCATGTATACAAGGCAAATGTATGCTGTAAAATTCTTGAAATAAAGCATAATACCAACTCCCTGTCGATAATGTCAATAATATTTTGCACTCAAGTTTGTAGCCAGGAATGAAAAACAAGAAATTTTGTCTACTTTAGTTTTAGTGAAGCCCTACTGTGTGAAATAGAGACCAGACCCTTGGTCTCTTCGTTTAGAACCACACGCAACTCAGGCGTGACGGACAAATACGGCAAATCGGTTCTGCCTTTCACCGGCTTTTTCGATCGTTGCCGCGGGCAATTTAACACCTGATCCTTTATGACAGTTTTCTTCAAAGTTGTGCCCGTTTTAGCAATCGGGGAGTTAAAGGAAATGTGTAAGCACCAAAACATTTATCAATACCGTCTGCCCTGAAATTGGACACAAGGCAAACCCGTCAGAAATCCACACGTTGCCTTTCAGTCAATACCGTTCTATTGGTTACATAAAAAGAACAGGATCTCGATACAAAATAGTGCCCCCGGGGGAATTGTCAGGCCTTTTGTTGGCATCCAGGGGGTAAAACCAACCTTGATCCTGTACTTTCGGCACACCAAGGTAAACATGAAAACAAAATGCATTAGCGACCCTGAGAAAAAAACACAGCAAAACGAAACAGCAACACTTTGTCTGAAACATTCATTCAGCACAAACGGGTTACACATAGCTATAAGTAACTCCGAAGGTGACTGATTATTTCTGGTAAACCTGGTTTACGCATCGCTTAGTGCAATGGCGACCACTTTTAAGTAATTTGGAAGTTTAGGTACTAGAAGTATTGGAAATCCAACTCGTGTATAACTTCCCGCGTTGAATCCAAGCGATTGATCTTGCCACGGTAGTCTCTAAATGGTTGTCAAATCAGACACCAAAAATTAATGAATTTTTCCTCTGGCAGTCATTTTTTTTCACTTGTGGCACATTGGAGTACCTTGAACAATTTGACGAATGACTATAACTTCTCTTGACTGCTTTTTAGTTATTTATTTCCAGTCATCATGACCAATAGTTCTGTGGCATTTTTTAAAACCCGCCAGACCCAAAACTAATTCGCGGTCGTTATTAAGATCTTCATTATTTACATCTGTTGTTGCCCTTACAGCGAAATTGCCTATTTTCTGTCCGGCGGCATAATACTGTCGTTTCTACCAACAACAAAAGCCAATTCTTCACGGCTGGTGATTCGCTGGGCTGCGGATCATAATAATGGTACTTCGGTTACAGTGCGCTGCCCACGACGACACGGCCTTGTAATATTAATCTGGTGCGCCGTCTCTGGGCAACAGCGTTGAAGTTTGATGGCGGACTCGTTTCCCTTAGCAACAAGTGCATGTCAATGGTGGGTGAGATCAATAATGGCGGAGTTTCATCGTACATCAATCGCTGTACACTTAGAAACCCATTTTACTCTGCACTTACCAGTGGTAACAAAGAACTCATACATGAGTAACCAGCCAGGAGCCTTTTAAAGAGATTAAGCACGAGAAGTATTTTAAAAACCTTCACTTTCAATAATATAAATTTAAAAAAAATCTTGACGCTTTCTAAAAGTACTGTTGTGAAACTCTATATTAATTTCGATGGTTTGTTTTTAAAAAAACATCCTTGAAAAATTGTGAAGAAGGATTTCCTGAAAATCTATAACCAGGGAGGACTTTCACCGTTTCCTAGCACTGTTCTTGTAAATTATGGAAGCTACTCTGTGAATTCATGGAGTGATTTGATTCAATTCTTAAAAATAACACATTCCTCCAACTTTAATTTGGAAGGCACCAAAATGAACAGAAAACAAGTGGGGTTAAAATACCGTAAAACCGCGTTCTGTCTCCATCCACAGCCCAAACATCAGTCGGACTACATACTGCTTCAAATTGTAATAAATATTTGGCTTGTCAAATTATCTTGACTATCAAACATAGTGAGTCACGGACATCAAACAATGTAGCGCATCCATTAAGGAGGGCATAATGGAAAGGGTCATATACCGCATCACTGATCTTTTTCTCATACAAAAGTCCTTCGGTTTTTGTTTTCCCGTATTTCTTATTCATATACAAATTTTTGGATTACCATAAAACCAGAATAGTAAATTTGATGCCAGCCGCAAGTGGATGTTTCAATATGGTATGGTATATGCGGACCACAAACCTGGTCTCTCTCACGCGTCCACGGACGCGTATAATAAAATCTGGATTCGAAATGCCCTTTATTAGCTTACAGAGAAAATTGAATCCACTCGCAGCCATTTTACAGAGCCGAATACAAAGCTTTTCTGGCAATGCCCGCCTTTGTTCTTCCTGACGTCAATAGAAGGGAGCCAACCCATGCATTTGTATTCGGCTCGGTAATGGCCGTTGGTTGGCTGCTTTTTCATACGAAAGCGTTGCAAGTCCAGGTTTTTTTTTAAATATTCGTTCGTGTTCGCGCCATGCAATTGACTCTGGCTATTTGTTTCTTGTGTTCTGTGCGCAGTCATGCATGTGCAATACGGCCATTTAGTCCCTCTTAATACACAGAGGGTGATTTTTATACCACGACCTCTGCTGTAATAAACACAGCAAACTCCAGGACCATTAAACCTGTCCATCAGTAGATAGGGACGTTACGATAATAGCTTTTTTGACAGAAGTGCCTTAGGGTAGTCATTTCTTTAAAAAAGTCACACCACAGCGTGCATGAAGCTTATCACCTTCTGATATGTTGACAAAATCACGTAAATTATGAAGACACCGAATTAGGATACCCTAACATCTCATTTGCAATGTTATTTTGATATCGTTTCCCTTTTTATGCGTCTCCCCGAGAGAGAGAGAGAGAGAGAGAGAGAGAGAGAGAGAGAGAGAGAGAGAGAG